CGATTCCATTTTGGTTAGGAAACATGAAACAAATTTAAAAATGAATGAAATATTATTATTCAGTTCTTGAAGTGTTTCATTGACTGAACAATATTTAGTTTTATATGTAAAATCGAGCTCATCTTGGTTAGAAACTTGAAACCATTTCCATTTTGGTTAGAAAACATTTCAATAAATTTCACTGCTGAAACAATGTCATTCAATTTTTGGAATTGTGGAGTCTATAAAACCAATTTCAACGATGAAACCAATTTCATTAACGAAAACATGTTATTTAGATTTTTGAAAAATGTGCCATTGACTAAATCATAACTGGCTAAAATTTCATTATGCAGACGAACAATGAAACCAATTTCACTAATGAAAAAATGACATACAAATTACAAAACGTTTTTATTGATGAAACCAATTTCACTAATGAAATCGTATTATTTTTTAAAATGAGATATAATTTCCAAAATGTTTCCAAAAGGATCGAACAATATGGTTGGAAGTTAAAAATGGTTTGGCAATTTTGCCCTTTCTTGATTAAATACTAAATCTTTTATTTTATTTTATTTTTTACTTTCCTAATATAACACATTTTAATCATGACCATTGATCAAGAAAATAGATGGATGAGATTGGTTTGTAGGGTTTGCACAAAAGGGGGTGGTTTGCATTTGATCGCTCATCTCTATCTCTCTCTCTCTCTCTCTCTCTCTCTATATATATATATATATATGTATGTATGTATATGTAGAGTAGGTTTACTTTGCAAATCATCCATTTCATACGAACCCTACAAACCAATCACATCCATATATTTTCATGATCAAAGACCATGATTAAAACAAGTTATTTTAGTAAAGTAAAAAATATAAAACAAAAAATAATTATAACTTTTTCAAATAAAGGGCAAAATGGGAACAAGTTTTAAACGTTTGAGATCATTGAAATCTCTTTTCTCGGAACTAAATCCCTTATCCTAACAATTATTATTAATCAACAATAATGAATTGGAACATTTTGAAAACTAAATGAAACCTTTTGAAAACCGAATAATATGATTCCATTAGTGAAATTGGTTTCATGAAAGCGTTGAGAACAAAGAAATTGTTGGAGTTATCATTTCTCTCTAGTACCAAACATATTTGGGTTCAGGCATTTTCTCGTATAATCTCACTAAGGAGGGGGTCATTTAATGAAACATTTTGAAAATTAAATAATATGATTTCATTAGCGAAATTGATTTCGTGAATGAAACATTTTGAAAACTGATTAACATGATTTCATTAGTGAAATTGGTTTCATGGTTCCAAATCAAAATGAAATCGGTTTTATTAATGAAACTAAATATGGTTCAGTCAATCGAACATTTTTAAAACTGAATAATTTGATTTCATTAATGAAATTAGTTTCATGATTCCTAACCAAAATGAAATTAGTTTTTTCATAAATGAAACATTTTGAAAACTAGATAACATAATTTCATTAATGAAATTTGTAAGGAAATCAATTTATTCATGAATTTTACAAATGAAACAAAACAATATACTCAAAATCTGGAAAATATCACATCTATAATATTAATAAATCTCAAAAGATTTGTAAATTAAAAAATATCGAAATCTTTTGTTATTATGAAAATGAAATAAATAAATTTCTAAGAGAAACATGATTATAAATAAACTCTGAAATTGACGTATTATTTGTATTTAATAAGAGAACACAAAATATTAATATTAGTAAGTATCTATTAAAAATTTTCCGCTTTCAAGATTATGATAAAAACAAATTGATTGATTGCTTCCTAAAAAACCTCTAATCTATATAATCTATCCAATTTAGACACAATTAAAATATTATTAAAATTATTTATTATAAAGTCAAAAGAACAACCATATCTTTATGAATTAAAAATAAAGAAAATTAAATAAAATTATATTATTGGATGATGCTAGTTTATACAGTTTGTATAAAAATGAGTGGTTCGTATTTAATCTCTCCTCTATGTATGTATGCATGTATAATTGTGTACGCAAAAATATTGTTTTTAGACAAAGGGTTAAAATGGCCCTTGATTTAATGGAGACGTTTATCAAAGGAACCATGACCAAAACAAATTGAATATCACAAGAACAAAATCTACAATAAACATACCATAAGGACCCTAATAAAATAAACATCAAATCATAGAGACCAAATCCACAACTCACTCTTTTATTTATTTTGGGAAAATAAAAATTTCTAACTTCTTTTTAATAAATATATATCATTGAAAATTTTCATTTTGAATTTTTTTAAAAATTAGATGTTTTAACTTTTAAAAATTGGTTTTTTTACATTCCATTTAATCTAAAACACCACATTTAATCTGGGGGCTGTTTACCAAAAACTTACTCAAAAGTGCTTACCGGCAAAATTTAACAATATTACTTACTTACCGGATAAGATTTTAGTCCACCAAAACAACACCATATGCAATAATTTACCCGATAAGCTCTTACCGTGGTAAGAGTTGTCGCCTTCACTTACCGGGTAAGACTCTTGTTCCTTGTCTCTCTCTTATCGGGTAAGATTTTTGATACTTGCCACATTCATCTGGTAAGATAATGTAACATGATAAGCACTTACCTGAGTAAGTGTTCGGTAAACTGCCCCTAAGAATGTTTTATAGTAAAAAACATAAATCAGTTTTACACTGTTCCTAAACTCAATGATATTCAAACCCTCGCACCCAACGAAAGAGGGAGATCAGTTTGAATTCAGATCCAGGTCTTAACCGGTCTTGGCAATGGGACTCCGTATCCTCGTAGCATACTTGTAGTAGCCGCAGACCCCCGTATTCGATCATGTCAACCAACAGTTCATTAATGACAGGCAAAAAGCAAGTGTGTGTTAGACCAAAGAACCCATGGTCAAGCCAAGAGTTCAATTACCAAATAAGGGTTTAGCAGAGAAGCAAATCAATCGTAATCTGCCAAATTCAAACCACCAAGAAAGACGTATAACGGGTGTTAAGCAGTCAAGAGAGATTACAGGTGGAGTTGGATCCCGAAGGATATGATTTATGGTTTTTCATATTAGTAAGCGGTAGAGGGAAACAGTGATGTTTTATGCAGCAGGTTGAGAAGTTTCGGATTCTTGTAGCTTCTTCCATTGGTCAGGGGTCATAGCTTTGGTGATGGAAAGAGCATGAATGTCTTTCATCTCTTCCGCAAGTGCTCCATTCACCATCCGATGCCTTTCCAACAACCTCTTCCCTTCAAATTGTTCTGAAACTATCTCAACTTTGAAACTTGCACCACACCTGCCGACAACAAAACCATAGAAACCAAAGGGTCACCTGCGTACATGCTACTTGCGTAATGTCTACTTTTTCTGAATATTAAATTGAAAAAAGTGGGTTCAAATTGGCCATTTTGGACAATTTCCCTAGATCCTAGCCTCCTTGTAGGTTAAGAATGTACTTAAGTTTTCCATATATAATTAAGACAATGTGACAGATGGTAAATGTTTTTGATAGAGAGCTTACCCTCCAGATGTATCAATAACTTCCTGAAAATAGAATATAATCCAAATATTAATCAAGGGAGGTAACAGAACTGATATAAACATGGATGGAACAGAGAGATTAAAACAATATCGCAACATCTAGCTCAGGATGATGTTATTAATCGTTATTAAGTACCAATGCTTTATGCAGGAGCATAAAAGCAAAGGATCTTAACAAATGATTTTTCATATATATAAACATTCAAAAGTCTTTGAAGCAACTTGCTCATGATAATCTGGGTGAAGCCCGGGATCACCCATTTCCCAAAAAAACTTGCAAACGATAATGCAGAGTAAATTGCTGATCAAGATAAGCACAGCTGCACATGCAGACTTGTAACCTTGAACTACTAGACAACATAAGGCTTTGATGGTCCAAAAGGACGGAGCATTATTACAGGATACACTAATTGGTTCGATCAATTCCACAGAAAATCATATTTACAGTAATAGTTTGTTGACGTATATATACTTATATTTAGGGTTTGGTGGATAATTTAGGGGGAAGGATACTTCACTTGCAAAGTAATTATTCATTCCTACTTGAATGAATATATTGGTGTAAAGAGAGCTAAGAAGTTTATATCAAATTTCAGCGTTATGGCCTAATGGACTTATAAATGAATTATTAGCATTTTGAACAATCATGCTTGATGAGTTCTTTCTAAACAACCAACATATTAATTATTTGCATTTTTCTGTTGCACTTCCACAGATATTTGTTTTACTTTATCCAAAAGAATATCTGCGGAAATGCAACCAAAAAATAGATGTCACAGAAACAAGAAAATTCACAATACGATTCAAATTGGAAAAATACAAAGGAAAAGATATATCCACTCAATAGAAGATATTCTTCTTCTCAAAGTTTTGCTTTTCACCCTTTAATGGTTATAGAAACAAATTGTCAAATAGAAAAGCTTTTACCCCTGATAACTCTAGAAAAACATACATTCATGATTCAAATCATGTTCCTATTCGAACTTGAAAAACACTAGAACTTGGTACATAATTTGGGAATAGAGTGGCAGATTGTCACTTCAGGATTTGAAAAAAAAAATCCTCTCTCGCTCTGAAATGAGATTGGTTTTTGATGAAGTTTTTGCTGCGTTTTCAGCCAAAGTAGAAGTAAACTGTGACCCACAGTAGTTATACATGTTTAACGCCATGCTCACAAATTAGCTGCAGGCTTGGTCCAAAAGCATCTAAGTTCTAAGACTTTAAAAGGATTTAACAGTCAGGCAAATAAATTATTTTAAAGGTTGCAGCAATCCACAGTTAAAATCTAAAGGGGCATTCACAAATTGCTTAGTTGTTTTTTTGTTCCTTCCATTGTTCAGCCATAGCTGGTTTAGGTCTGTTGTTAGCAATTTTATGTGCTAATGAGACTCATAGCTTATTTTGGTTAGCTTACAAAACCGTTTGGTAGTGGGGTAATGATATAGAAAGCTACTTATTCAGTAAGCTTACAGGAGGAGCTTTATGCAAAAAGCCAATTTTATTCCCAAATTTGGCCTTCCCATTTAAAAAACACACTCCTTCGGGCTATAAAAAAGTTATCACAAACAAAAACCTTTATGATATATATGAACAGATTAATCCACACATACCGCTTTATCTGGAATTAATGAAAAGCCAACCAAACATCCCCAAATGCCAACTTTGGTGATTTATCCTAGGGGTTTTCAGGGTTGCAGCATTGTTTTGCTCTCAATCATCTTATTCTGATCATTATTAGTTGTTTCAGGAACAAAACCATCAAAAATTGAAGAAGCATGTAGTGCAAAATTTCAAAATACAACCAAACAAGTAGGAATCTGAGTAATTTCACATACAGAGCTGCGATTACGATTGAAAGACATAAACATGTAGCAAATGGATAGATCGTGTATGCATGAAGAAGTACTTACGATATGAGAAGGAGTCAATTTTGACCTAAGTGCCGACTCCACCTGTTCCTTTGACACTCCCATCACTCCCTTCCTTCAAGCTTCTTGACGACGAATTGGTATCAAATAGAACCCCCCGCGTCCAAATTACGCTTTTCTTTCTTCTTTTTCTTCTTTTTATATATTTCACGTCAGATTAAAACTTATGTAATAAAAAATAGCATAAATTACATGAAAAATTAACGTATTTTAACTTAATTTTTATTTTAGATAACTTATTTTCAAAACTTTTATTTTGATATTTATAATGTAAAGTTTAAAACATTTAAGTACTCAAGTAATAGGTTGAAGCATTAACCGGTTATCATGCTGACTTGACGAGTAATGTGGTATCCGGTTAATGCTTCAACAAATAATGCTGAGTTGGATACCACATCATCATGGTAATCAGTTAATGCTTCAACCAGTTATCCAGGTACTTAAATGTTTAAAACTTTATATTTTAGATACCAAAATATAAGTTCTGAAAATACGTTATACAAAATAGGAATCAAATTAAGGTACAATAACTTTTCATGTAATTTGTCCTAAAAAAATAGAGTAAATTACACTTTTGATCCATATGGTTTCCTACATTACACTTTTGGTCCATAAGACAATTTAATTATTTATAATCTATTTTCTATTAAAAACGAAATTCAATTCCCTTTCAAATACCACAAATTAAACTCATCGGATATTTCAAATCACTAAAAACATTTATCAAACCAAACGCTCCCTTAAAAAAGCTACAAAAGTAGTTTTTATTAGAACCTAGTGACAAACGATTAAAACTGATGAATGTTAAGATAACGAACAAAAGATGTCGAAAGATACAATGACTTAAACTAAGGTCATTACGCTACATGCCGGAATTAGTATCGTGGTACAAAAGATTCGAGAAATAGTTCTAACCCTCGTCTATCGTATCCGTATCCGTACCCGTCATCGTTACCTTCTATTACTAAAATATGTCCATACAATATCATAAAAATGAAACTTTGATCATAACCATTTGATTCATCATTGGAATTGCTCTTCTTGCTTCAATGTGTTTTCCTTTAAGCTTTTGGTCAACCAAATGGCAGTTTCTCTAGGAGAAACCTTCCCTGGACCAAATGGTTTCAGCAACACACCAAGCTCTTCAAATCTTTCCTCTTGCAACAATCTGGCACTAAATTCAAGTAGCCCTTCTAACGCTTCGGCTCGTTGCTTTTGAGACGACGTATCGAACCGCCGCCGCCGGAGGTCCGATGACGTTCGGCTCGATGCACCGGCCGTTGCATTTTGGTCCGAGCAATCGCTTCCTGATCCATTCCATGCGGTTGGGGAGGTCTGCCGGCCGGATGTTGTGTCACAGGCTTGGACCATGCATTTGTCTTTCATGATTGAACGATCACATTGTGGGGATGACGAGCCTTGTGCGGAGGTTATTGAAGTCCGGCGAGTGGGGACAAAGTGGTCGTCGTTTGGAGTGAAAGGGAATTCGACCATTTTGTCAATTCGAGGGGCATTGACGGAAACGTCCAGAGAGTTGAGGCACTCTAGGAAACCGGTGCTCTTTCGATATGCGGAATCTTCGATTATGGCTTTTTTTAGTAGCGGCAGAGATGCCCTCCTAGATGTTGGACCGGATTGTTTTACTGAAGTCCTTGAATCAGAATCCTGCACCTGTAACCATTTCGCACTTCAGACTAAAACTTGAAAATTCGAAAAAAAAAATGTTCAAAATTAACCTCTCGACAGAACAGATTATGATTCATAAGAAACGAAATAAATGCATCACACGATCACCCATGCATACACTCATTCAGACACCCAAAGTCAGGTAGGAGCTAGCCTAGCGTTCAATCCCCTAGGCTGTTGACCGCCACAAATTGGGTAAGCGCTAACCACCAGGAGTATGGTCTGGGGTAAGAGGTCCGATCAAGGTAACCGCTGACTGATAATGGTTGTTTACAAAGTGTCTGCATAAGTGCTGACTGAAGCACAGGCCGAGCCAGAGAGCAACCACTTCCTTACTGGGTCAGCATCTAGGTCAGAATATTTATGGGTCAGAGTGTGTTGGTAAACAACATCCCTTCTTACCGGGGAAACATCTCTTACCTGGTAAGAGGGCGGTCAGCAGGTAGTAAACAATCTAAGGGCCAGTTTACCAAATGCTTACCGGGTCACTTACCTTACCGAATTAACATTGCAAGGGCCGGGAATTTTACCCGGTAAGAGGGAAGCAAGGAACGAGTCTTACCCGGTGAGGGTGACGACTCTTAGCGATAAGCGCTTACCGAGTAAAATTGTTGCATATGATGCCATTTTGATGGCTAAGAATCTTACGCGGTAAGGTTAGTGAGGTTAGTGGTCCCTCTTAGCCGTAAGTGCTTAACCATTAAGAGTTTTGGTAAATGGCCCCTAATGCTTTGTGTCCAATGTGCCATGAGGTCCCCTCAGCCAGAAGATCTAAAATTTGCTTGGTTCATATAGAACGAACAATTTATATGGAGTAATTGGACCATAAGTGCCAAATACCATTACAAAGCCCTCTAAGTAACAAAAGGTTAATGGTGGCCTGTATTTTGGCCATTTTAGCCATATTGAAACACAAACCAGATATACTAACTGCTACTGCAGCTAGTACCAAAGGCACAAGATCAACATGATATCTAGAAATACAAAAGACATGCATCATTATTTGATAATCTTACCGTTTCACGACCCTTTGAGAGCTCCGTTCGCTTTTTAGGAGCAGACAAGGTCTTTGGTGAAGTAAACCTAAGGTTCTTGGCAGAAATGGAAGCTTTGGAAGAAATATTCTTACTAACTGGTGACTCTTCACATGTGCTTCCAACAGACAGCCTTCCCATTCTTCGTTGCAAGTAATGAGGGGAATCTTGAACCCGTTTGGTTGAAAAGGGAGAACCTTGGTCACCTAAAGATATGCTTGGATTCAAAGTTCTATCATTGCCACACGATAGCCGCCTCTCCCTTGATCTTGGCCGAAGATAAACTGGCTCCGCAAATCTTGTTTTCTTCATGTAATCAGATTCAGGCCAGTGGGTTGATAAACTGCTGCGTTTGGGGCTATTTAGTTTAAGATTGACCTTAAGTACATAAGGCTGAAGGTGTGGATGCCTGAGTAGCTCTGCCGCCTGACAAACCAAACATACACTTCAATGATTTACACCACAGAGTAATCATCTACGAATTCATTTTTCAAGTGCTGTAGCATTAAATTGTGCTCACAAGCCACAGAGACCACGTTCTTTTGAGAAATCCAATTGAGATGATGATGAAGACATAAATAAGTTGTTTGATTATGCTACTTATGACTTTAAATAAAAAGTAAGAGGAAAATTAAACACCCTCAGAGAATATATCGACTACTGTAAGATGAGTTTATCTCCCTCTCCCCCCCCCCCCCCTCTAAAAAAAAGACCCTACTTTCGGGTTCTTTGGTTCGGTTTGTAAGATGAGTTCTACTCTACCCTCTAAGAGTAGAGCCGCTGTTTCCATGAAGACCGCCCCTCCCCCCGGGTTGTGCAATGTTGCAATAAGAGAATAATGGACCTCTAAAGTTTTTGGTTGAAAGTAAACCTATCTACAAAATGCAATAAGAAATGATTCTACAATAGAAATGATTTGTATAATGCACTAGATAAAAGAAAAGTATCTACACTTGGCCGTAGTTCCGGATTTTTCCGCAGCATGCTTTTCACAAGGCCCCGACTGAAACAGAAAAGAGAAAAATGATTAGATTCCACAACCAGCCGAGTGCCACAAAACACAGAAGAAAATATCATACAAGTGATTATTTATAAGTGCATAACATTAAAAGTAAGTACATGTATAATGTTCTCAATTAGCTCTTACTAAATAACTCCTTCACAAGTGCACCTAAGAGTAGTAGCATATGAAAATTGTCATCCATTATTACATGATGAAGTAGAATAAAAAAATTGACTCACAAGGCACCAGTGTATTTAGTTGGAAGTGGTGCAACAATTGACTTGTTGATCTTGTTTATTAGTGCTTGCATGTCCTGTTCAAGAAGCCAAAACCAAAATCATAAGCATTCTGAGCCTCAGGCAGAAATAAAAAGGGGGCAGAAATTAAATTTGAAGGTTCTTAGAAATTACAGCACATTATGATATTGTAATAATATGAACAAACAAAAAGAAAAGGCTTAAAACATATGCATCCCATAGCAAAGAACGTATTTTGCAAGTGCCAACACTGAAATAAATTGTTTTTTGACTTTGTCCTTGTATTAACAGATTGAATATATTTTCTTACGTTACGCTACCATAGTTTCAAATGTTCAATATCAAGGTTCACCATCTTACACCTGTCTCGAGAAGAACATGAAGAGAATTATAGTAAAATAATTCTAGATGTAATAGAATATTCCATTTCTGAAAGGACCATATTTGACTCCAAAATTCGAGAGGAGAATGCTGCTGTTGGAAGATATTTTATCCTTGATGAAATATAATAAATCATATGCATATGTCAAGTAAAAGCAGATACAGACCAGAATAATTTTTCTCAAAATGCAAACAAGATGAACAAACTTCCTCAAACTTCAGTAGTGCTGCAGCCATAAAGATTATGGCCCACGGGGATAAAAGATGCATATGATTTTACAAAATCCGGGATGACTAGCATACATAATGCAGTGGCGTAAGAAGCACAAAGCAATTACAATTGAAAAGACCTGCTACTCTGCAGTTTCCACCCTTGGCTACAAATGGGACCATGTGCATAAAACTAACTGAAGGATTGACAGGAAATTTGGTGAAATTCTAGTGGCCAAGATAAGGCATTTAGAGGTCACAAGGTTAAGGCAAACATTTAGAGGTCACATGGTTAAAGATGTATATGGTGATTAAGGCATCCAATGCTGCACGAGAGAAATTGCCAGGGTTGCAATTATGTGTAGAGAAGCAACCTCGAATCACCGAAGACCATCAGCACAATGTACTTTGCTTATAGAACTTGGATCATTGAAAACGTATTCTCGTCAGTTTACATGCATAACAATTGTGGGTGACAACTGACAAATGATGAAAAGGTAGCAGTTACCACAGTTATTAAAATAGATACATAGATGCTATTGACACTTACAAAAGCTTTAAATGCAGCCTTATGTGAAGTCATTTCATATATACAGCATCCTAGAAAACAGAATATGAAGAATCATTAGTACATGCTTATATTAAGAAATAAATGCGAGAAAAGGCACAGTTTATCTCATGCAAGCGAATGTCAAAGATCATTCAGCATACTCCATTCATCCCTTACCAAGAGACCAAATATCTGATTTTGAACCATAAGGTATATCTGCAAGAAGCTCAGGGCACATATAACTAGGAGTTCCTACAACCTGAGTAACATATAAACAACAAGAAAACAGTGAGATACATCCACTTCTTAAACAGAATGAAACTCAAACTTGAAGGCCCTCAGTAAGAAACACATCACTCACAGATGAGGCAAGGTCATCTGAAGTCAACATCTTGGCTAGTCCAAAATCACCTGAAAGATGTATTATTGATGATGAGTCATCATCACTTACTTTCAACTCGAGAAAGAAGTTCAGAAAAATATACTCACCAAGACGTATATCTTGATCTTTTGTCAAGAATATATTTGAACACTGTGAAAAAATAATCATCAGCAAAAGATGGTCCATGAAAATTCAGAAGACATTACTACCGATAGTTCAGCCAAAAGCAAGTTCATCTGTTGAGCTAACCTTAACATCACGGTGAAGAACATGATTTAAGTGTAAGTAGTCAAGCGCCATTAGGAGTTGTACAAGCCATTTACACAGTTTCTGCACAACAGTTTGTTGTTTAAACAAACAACTTCAAGCATAACAGGACTTGCAGAGTATAAAAGGGAACAGGGAGGAAATAAAAGGCAGGAGAGAGAGAAAATAGATGCAAGATCGTAACTAACTACCTCTTCAGAAAACAGCATGCCATTTGCTTTTTTAATAGCTCCTGCCCTGCATAAAAAGAAATTGAAAGATCATGCCAATGACCATTATAACTCTTCGCCAAAGCATTGTAATTTGAGAGGAAAGTTGCGAAGTACTAACATGTCTCCACCTTCACAATATCCTATAATAATGCACACATAGCATCCCTGTCAAAAGAAAATAAACAAATAAAAGAAGCACGGTTAGAAAAAAAAACGTTAGTGCAGACTTCAAGATAAAGAATGAACAATTCCTGCAACCATGGCTGTTCTATTACTTTCTTTATTGTCAAGTACAAGCAACGGTATGAATTGTATTAAAAATGAAACGACGACCTCAAAACATGATCAATAATGATGAAAATTTCTTTTTCTTACCTTTTCTACCCAGGAATCTTTATACTCCACAATAAAGGGATTTCGCATTTTAGAGATAAGTTCCATCTACAAATAGAGAAACTTGATTAGTTTGTAGATGTTTGAAAGTAAAAACTAATCAAAAGTCATTACAATTGAGTTTCGGATAGCCAATTTAAAATCATAACTGCACGAGGCATAAAATGCCAACACATGTGCAGATGTAAACACACAAGAAGTTACAACATGAACAGCAGATATTTTACTCAGGCAAGAATTACCTAGTGAGGGAGTATGAAGTTCAGATTACAAACTATTATCATAATACCAACGGATAGAAAATAATACAACTAATATTAAAACACCAATGTGAGGGAGTATGAAGTTCAGTTCCAAGGAAAAGGGGAGTTATGGAGTCCAAAAAAAAGAAAAAAAGAAATCAATTTCAGGTGCATTTAGGACATTGATGCCCTCAAAAATAGAATTAACAAAAGATTGTAGGATGCTTAAAGTAAAGGATACCAACCTCCTGATGTGCAGACCTACGGGTTCTATCAGTTTGGCGGGCAAGGCGTATCTTTTTCAACACATACCTTAATATACAGAATTACATACAATGGGAGAAACAATCAATATGTGTCAATGAAAATGCAACTTAGCATCATCGAATAAGCATACAACATATTATGACAATTGAGCAAGTACAGAGATACATAGATACGGGGATCGAAACAAACAAATAAAAAACTAGGTAAATTTCAATTGTATCCTCACTTTTTTCTTTCATGTCTATGCCGTACGAGAAGGGCGGCACCAAAAGCCCCCCTTCCAATTTGCTCAAGCACTTCGTACTGGTCCATGTAGCTAGCAATGCATTACACTTATAAAGACTAACAAGATGCTTCTTCCTGTCATATATTCAATATAAGACCCTGTAAGTAAACAATGATTAAGATGCTAAAATAATGTGTCATTAAAGAGAACAAGAAAGCCATAAAAACAGTAGTATAAGCCACCTAATGCATGAATCTTCGCACATTAAGCCAGTTTTCTTAACAGAACAATTCGAAAGAGGACGGAAAGAAGAAGAAACAATCCGTATACAACCTAAAACGATAGCAACAGTAGATATTCTATTGCTATGGCATTTTTTAAATATTTGACGTGCCACTTAGCTTATATTCGTTAAATATATAGAAACACCGATCTTGCCAAACTAAGACAATACTGTATGTCTTAACCCACTTAGCATGATAATCACAATTTAAAACTCAATTGGACAAAAAGCTAACAAGAAATAGTTAACATCCTATATACAGTGTACTTCCTCTAAAGTTCGTTAAAATAAACAAACATCAAGTGTTAGAAACCTGCAACAACACGGTGTCCCCTCACCAGAATCTATAGACACAAAAACGCAAAACTGAGTGCCTGAGAAAAAATTGCTTTCAACATTTTATATACTTCATCTGATCTGGTCATCCAGTATTAACTAAGACAATAATGTGCCCTCACCCACCATTTACCAAAATCAGATGCAAAAATTAATCACTCATGGGGGAAACAAGCAGAATTTGTCAATGACTTGTATACCACCTCCAAAGTCCATTAAGATAGACAAACCCCAAGCATTATTTACCTAAGAACATGATATGTCCTCTCTCCCACATCTATAAACATCCAACAAACTACCCAAGGAACAACAACCAGAATGTCAGTGTCTTAAAAACTTGTTCTAAAATTCATTAATATAAACAAAAAATCATATATCAGTAACCTACAACCACAATGTCTCCCCTCACCCACCATTTATAAAAATCATAATGGAAAACCAAGGACTCGTGGGAAGAAAAACGACAGTTATGTCCTACATACTTTCCTCCAGAATTCTTCAAATTAAACAAATATCAAGCATTAGTACTCAACAATAATGTCCCTCTCAACCACCAATTATATATATCAAGATGTGAAGACAAAGAACTTAAGGATAAAATAACTAGAATGAGCATATACTTCCACCTTACGAGGATAAGACTCCAATTTGTGCAAAGAAGGCTGATTTAGGCCACAAGGCATTCACATTTACAGACTCTTACTGCAGAACGACGACTGAATCATACAGCGAGACACCACATTTGAATCTAACAAAAAGAGATCCAAGCAAGACAAGTGAACAACACAACAAAATTACACATCCAAACAAAAAATTAAGCAAAAGACGAACCAGAAAACAAGTTCAAATGCATCGTAAATCGTACCGAGAAACAAAGTAGCAAGATTTAGAAAAGCAAAAGCATGTTAGTATGGTGCAGCAGTGAGTGAATCGAAGTCAAAGAGAAGTGGCAGATTAAAGTATATACCTGAGAAGCTGAAATTGAAGGATGAAAGTGAAGAACAGTGAAGATGAAGATTAGTTGCATCGGAGATGGAGAAAGTGGAATCTGGAGACTGACATTTTGCACGGAAAGACTATTGAAAACAAGTGCTGATGAGAGGTTTCAATGGAGAGAGAAGGGAAGGGGAAGGGGGTGGGGGTAGGGGCTAGGGGGAGCATAGCAGGCTATGTGTCTGCTGCTACTCTCGTCGTATATGGAATTGGAAGGTATAACTTTTCTTACACAACGTACAAGTACCACGGATCATTTCTCTAGATCTTTTAATAACTCATTCACTTGCTTATACCTTATGCCATATTATAATAAATAACACTGTTTATCTTTATAAATTGATAAATGTTTGAATTTATTTAAATTGTCTATTTTATTTATTAAAAAATTATAGTGTTGAATTTATAGATAAATTTATAAAATTTCATATATTTATTTATTATTACGAAAGTTATATCTAAATTATATAATTAACATTCATTTAAACGAAAATATGTCATTGACTGTGTTTAATACATTTATATCCTATTATAATATTTCAATTGAGAGCGGTGAGTATCAATTTGGTATTGATCAATTGTGGAAAATGGTCTACTAAGGCTAATTGATTGAGAAACGTCGTTGTTGAGGGTCTGGAAAACAATAAGAGACAAATAAGAGTTTTGTTTATCTCTTATCAGATAAGATGACTATAAGACATAAGTGTCTCTGAAAAATAAAATTGGAAAAAAAAAAAAACAAATAGTCTGAATGGCCTTATACGAATCAGACATATGAGTGGGAGTATAAATGAGTCGAGTCGAGTCGTGTAGTAAGTTAATTGAGTCGGACTCAAAAAAATTAATATTAGGCTCGAGCTCGACTAACTTTTTCAATGTAGAGCTAAAGATGGAGCTCGAATATTTTTTATATTAAATTAATTGTTGTATATGTTCCAGACGATTTGTGCACATTTCAATTATATCATAAGAAAAAATGTTATTATAGGTGTTATTATATGTATTCTTATTTTATGTCAGATTTAAGTTAAATCATATATTAAAAATACATAATTATTTGTTAATTTTGATGTATATAAAGAGATAAATTATGGACGAAATTAAATATTATATAAATGTTGATAAAGAAAGCAAGATTATTGACTTTAAACATTTTATAATTATTTTTTTCCATGTGCTAATCATTATAAAGTGAAATGGATTAATTTCATTTTTAATATATATATATATATATATATATATAATTGGATTCACGTGAGACAATATTGTTTTCGTTAAACACGATTTTTATACTTGAAATTTCACAACAAAATGTTGTGAAAGTAAAAAAAAAAAAACCGAATATTCACAGCAAAAACATTGTGAATGTTACCTTCACAATGTTCTGTTGTGAAGTTTCAAGTATAAAAATCATGTCTCACGAAAACAATTTTGTCTCACATGATCCCAATTTTATATATATATAAAGTAATATGATGTGTAGATGTAATTGAATGAAAAGTATACATTCATATGAAGCTTTAAATTTTTAGAATTAGGCTTGTGAAAACAATTACAACAATCTAACTCCTACCCACCATTTTTTTGTTGGCTTTCACATATTTATTACACATGATAAATAAAAAATACATATTAAAAATAATTGGAAAATGCCTATAAAATTCACCTTGTTTTTTAATTTTTACATAAAAATTTAAATTTACAGTTTGAGTTTCAGCAATTTTTTCTATACCTCTGTGTAAATAACCCAGTATTAGGATTCGAACCGTCGATAGTAAACTATATTAGTTTTTAATACTGTAGCTAATGCGTTAAGTATCCCGTTTGAGAAGTACGTTCGAGAATACCTGAAATTCCTTTTGTTTAACTAAATCATTAAAAATGATCTGATGGTATTTTTACAGAATCACTTAAAAGAGATAAAGGATATACGTACTGATATTTAATATTAACAAGGTTTCAAGTATTATTTTAATTCTTACTTTTTACTGATATCATAACATTTGATGACACGGATATCGAATTTTTTCATTCATTCATCAAAACCTTTTCATAAACAAGTATTTACACCAAATAGTCTTTGGCCTCCTAAGAGATCAGGGGTTCAAAGCTCACTAAAGATGAGGAGGGTGTGTGAGTTTATTTGTTCTATATAAATATTATATACTTTAAAAAAACAAGTATTCACGTCAATGTGTCATTAAAATGTCACAAGATCAGTAATTTACTCGTGAAAAATTGATCCGAAATATAAAAAAATTGGAACATTATAACATCGTTTGAGCAAAAAAATTATTCGTTGCATTAAATATGAACTAAAACAAACTTCGTTGCATTTTATCTTAGAATAATTATTTATCTGCTTTTACCCTGATGTATTGTTACCTAACCTTAATCGTAGATTAGTTTTTATGACTGTAATTTGTTACAACGGAATAAGATGATTCAAAATCAACCATAAAAAAGAATACCGACAAAGAATCCTTCTTCTAGGATTGCAACGTTTTTTAAAAAACTAAAAAAAAAATCAAAGATATTGTACTTGATTTGTTTTCGTAGTATGAATTTTCGATTTGTCTTGGTTGGGTTCATGATTAAAGGATTAGGGGTTATTTGTTTACCTCTTAATAGTTTCATTAAGATGCAATCTCTAAATCATTAATAGGTGTGAATCTTGTTTGGCAAAAAGAAATTTGTCTCTGATTGATTTTGTATCATGAGTCTCCCTTAACCATTCAGCGTCATAATTTTATCGTAAGCAATTATACAATTATAATTCATTTTGCACTATATCATGAGAGTCTTTTAATCATTCTGACCATTTAATAATTATGCACCAAACCATTCAGTAACTGTCAAACAGTCCATAATGTTTCAATTAAATTTGTTAATTTTTTGTTCGAATTTAGTTTTGAGTTAGTTTTTATATTCAGATTATTTTTTTTGTCCTTCCATAGATTTGTGGTTATGAATTTATAGTTTATACATATTTTTCCTCACACGTTTAATCACATGTGAATATTTATTTAACCTATTACAAATTAGTTCTTTTTTTAATTTTAATGATATGTTCATTGACGAATTTATTCACATGAATATTAACTACAATTGTACCCATTCGCATGTGAATATCAACCTTAAGTTGTTGCTTTTGTACACAAATAAATGTGAATATCAAGTGCAGTCCACGCATGCGTCATGAACAAATACTAAATTTTATTTATAACATATTTCAATGTGAATATCAACTGATTTAGCCATGGTAAAATCACTTATTAAAAACAATAAATATATGCATTCTTAAATGCATATAACGGTATCATATTCACATGTAAATATTGATTAATATCGAACCATTTAATTTGTTTTCCACTACGTAAATGAGTTTATATATTGTAAGTTGCTACTTTACTACACATTTTACTTATTAAATATTCACAAGTGAATATTAATACATAAATATATTCGTATTACATATAACAATACATGATTTACATGTAAGCATTAACTAATATAAAACATTTA